TTTGTCAGTGTGAATTAAAGATGCTAAAAAGTAAAATCATACCCACCAATCACATGTTAATGTTTTTGTTTTGTTTTGTTGTTTTTTTTTCAATTATTTCCATTTAAAAAAAAAAAAAATCAAGAAATATTCTAATTCAAAACTTCTGGCTCATTTATGCTTCCATACATCTTGGTTGACTTGGCTAGACTAAAAACATCTGTAGCTTCTCTACATTGAGCTCCTTCACTTTTTATGAACATCCTGTTCATTTGGCAAAATCCAACAGAACTACACAGGCTGCACTTCTTCTGATGTTAAAAAACTGAGCTCAAAACCCCAAAAACTGTACAAGGAGCCAGCCAACCACTCATGCAGTGGGAGCAAGGAATAATGAATGAAGGCAAAACCAAAGAAAATGTAGTTAATATGATGAAGTGAGATTCAGGAGCAGGAGCAGGCCTCAGCCCTCAGACCACGCCCCTCTCCTCTCACCAGAACCACAACTCACCTCGACCACACCTCCAATTTCCCAGAAGCCAGCCTTTCCCATCATCCCTGTTTGTTTTGGCGAACTCGACCCCACCCTCCCATCCCCTATTTTGTCTTTCAGTCATAAGACCCCTACGTTCTGGCTGGGCCAATTGAAGATTGAGACGGAGCCCCCACCCATAGTCTCAACCAGCCATCTCTGCCATACATTATCAATAAACTTCTTTGCACTATGTTGTTGTTGGTGTGATTCGAGCTAGTGAAACTACTTTAAATGTAGCAGCCAAAACCACTGGCCCCTAGCTCATCCCTACAGGCTCTGTACAAGAGCCCCAACCACAGGCCCACCAAGTCAAATACAATCAACCAGTCCAAAGTGTTCTTCAACTGAGCTACTGCTGCTCCTTCTGGGAAAACCTGTGCTCTTCTTTCCAAACACCCAGACTATGTTTAGTGTGAGCTCTGTGTCTGTAGCATGACCACACCTGTGACATGTCCACCTCTGCTGACTCTGTCTGTGATGCACCGCCCTCCCCTCGTGTCTCCTTTAATACCTCACAAGAGCAGGAGCTGAACTTTGCTTTGAGACGTCCCGTGAGCAGCAGGTGAGCGACACTAACACACACATACACACACAACATTTCTATTCAATTCTGTATTATCATCTATATATATATATATATATATTTGTGCTTTTCAGTGGCTGTACCAGAATGGAGTCTCAGCAGAACCCTGTTCTCCCCTCCTCCCCTGTCACCCCAGGAGCCTCGCTCAGCTCCGTAGGTGAGACAATCAACACTATTCTAATCATCTCATAGGTTCAGCAGCTGGTTGAGATACACACATGCTGGACTGTTATTAATACTTCATCTGCTGAGACTTTCATGGGAGCTCCTCTGTGTGTTGTTTGAGGAAATCCAGCTGCCCCACACACTGTTTATGACTCACAGCAGCTTCAACTCAACATTTAAATGGACTGTTTTTATAAGAGTGTGATCTCTGTGTAACTAGTATTGTGTAGTGGGGCCGCAGAAAAGTGGTGGCCATTTGAGTAGTAGTAGTAGTAGCAGTAGTAGTAGTAGTAGTAGTAGTAGTAGTAGTAGTAGTAGTAGTAGTAGTAGTAGTAGTAGTAGTAGTAGTAGTAGTAGTAGTAGCAATAGTAGTAGTAGTAGTAGCAGTAGTAATACTACTATAGTCATTTTAAGTAGAGGTAACTGTATTTAAACAAAAATGTATGCAATAATCTGTAAGATATTTTCAGAACAGAAATATGACAGAATTGAATTGTTCATAAAAGTGTGCTGTAAAACACTTGCTCTTAGTTAACCGTTAACTTGGAGAGTTATGAATTATGAAAATGTGCTTACTTTACATTTTATAAAACAGCTGAGCACAGGAGAGCCGTGGACTTTTTCTGTGACGTTCAACTGAGAAGTACAGCATGTGTAGTTCTAAAGACATGATAAGGCACTGTTGGATTGTGTGAAATAAGACGTTTGTTTTTCCTGTATCCATGGAGACTGTACCAGAGACTAGCTGAGGAGGACATTTGAGATGCTACAGGCTTTTCACATCACATGTGGCAGAAGACCTTCCAGAGGAAATACTCTGAGGGAATTTGGTTTATTTAATCCTGGTTTCCCTTCGAATGTTCAATCAAAGTATCTCAGTTTAAACCCCAGCACCTGCACCAGTCATGAGTCCGTGCTAGTGCAGCCTCTGCAGCTCAGGGAGGGAATTCTGGAGGTTCTGAGCTTCACATGAGACCTGAATATAAACTGAGAATGAGACACACTTGGCTGTGTCTCTGTCTGCAGGTGAAGCCTCTGGAGACACAGGCTCAGTTGTGATTGTAGTAGCTTTGTTAGAGCTGTAAGAGCCCAGGACAGACACACTTCTGTTCAGACATTCTGTCCACGTTATCCTGTTAGCGCTTGAAATGACAAAGAAGTTTCAAAGAAAAGTAACAAGGAAAAGCAGTGAGCAAACTCAGAACTAAACATAACTCAAATAATCACTTTTGGGGACTGTGGGTTTGTGGTTTATGCAGTGAAGGAAAAAACAAAATCAACATCCATGACCTGAGCTATATTTCCAAGATTTATTTCACACAAACAACAAGAATACATGATTAAGGTCTACTGTTGCTGCCTCTCCTGTCAACTGGTAAAAAACCCACAGGCTCACCCAGGTGCACTCTGGTCTATGTGTCCCATCCTCCTTTATCCCCTAGTGCCCCAGATTAAACCAAAAACACAACAGGTGCTAATATAAATCGTACCAAATTAGACTAAACAAATTAACAAACATAATATTAATATAGCAAAACATATGCAAATGAACAAAACTAAACTGGTAAACTAATCAACAAACAAAAATAATACATTCATTTTAGAATAAACAAAATAAGCAAATAGCTTCTACAGCGCTCAGGGTTACTCATCAGTTACTCATTAGTTACTCATCAGTTGCAAAGGTACAAAAACTACATCCTCAAGTCACGAGGCCAAATAACAAGGAACATTTCTCTGCACCCATCAGCTTCTTGGGAGTCCAACTCTCGTTTCCATGGAGATGGAGTCCGCTACAAGGCCAAACTGATCGGCATTGACCACGTGACGAGCGCAGAGGGGGAGAAGATGTGCTGGGACTCCATGATGAAACTGAAGGTACACCCCCTGGGGAGGGTCAGATCTGGTTTCTACCTGCGTTAGTCCTGGTTTACTGTCCTGGTCTTATTCTGGTTTAGACTCGGTTTAGTGGAAAGTTCCCAGTCTGTAGGTCAGTAGCTATGAGACGTATGAGTCCTGGTTTTCTTAAGCAGTGGTCACGTCATATCAGAGGAGCTTTAGATTTGTTTCAGACCTGGTTTAGCTCTAGTTATATCTGGTTTAATCCTGGTTCAGTCCAGCATATGTGGGCTGTCCCCAGTCTGAGTTCCTCTGTTTACTTCATCTTCGTTTAAAGGTCTTGGTACATCCTTCTTGACCTAAGTGGACTTTTATTTACTACAGTAAAACACAGTTTGGACAGTTTTCAGTCACAGCGTCCCCAGAGGATGTTCTTTCATCTAATGAGACGACTTCCTCTGAGGAAATGCACACTGACACTGAGTGTCATCAGACCACAGACTGTCTAAAGAAGTGCACTGAGGGAGTGTGACGTCACCCTCATCAAGGCCAGCAGTCAGAACCCTTCATCTGCAGTCAGGTTCCATATTTGGAACTTTGTTAACGCTAGTGGGAGTGACTTTGGGAAAAAAATTTAAATTGAATAAAAAAAAAATTAAATGATTTAAGAACAAAACAGCAAATAAAATCACCAGGATCATTTTAGGTCAGAATGATGAAGTTGACAGCAGCAGGAGGACAGCACACCTGTCTGGAACATACCAGTTAGGCTGTATATACACTACCTGTCAAAAGTTTTAGAACACTCTCATTTTTACAGTTATTTATTGCAATTCAAGTTGTGCAAGTTTGTACCTTTGTTCTATTTTAACCAAAAGTAAAAAATAATGTACATTTCAGAATTATACAAAAAGTTTTTTTTTCAGGGAACATGTAAAGCTGTTTTGCAGCAATGAAGGTTGAATCTGCCTTTAAAGTCACATCAAACACCTCTGTAAGACGTCATTCTACCACCTCAGGAACATCACAAAACTCCGTCCAACTCTCTCCCTGGCAGATGCAGAGAAGCTCATCCACGCCTTTATCTCCTCCAGGTTGGACGACTGTAACACACTCCTCATCAGGATACCTGGCAGGAGCATCCAGAGACTGCAGTACATCCAGAACTGCGCTGCCAGGATCCTGATGAGAGTGCAAAAATTTGACCACATCACCCCCATCCTGAAATCCCTTCACTGGCTCCCGATCACACTCAGGATTGAGTATAAGGTCTCCCTCCTCACTCACCAGTGCATCCACGGTCACTCCCCCCCAGTACCTTAAAGAACTCCTCACTCCCCAGGCCCCCTCACGCTCCCTCCGCTCTGCAGCCACCAACACTCTCCAACCCCCCACAACCAAACTTTGCACCATGGGTGATCGGGCCTTCTCCTCTGCTGCTCCAAGGCTTTGGAATGCTCTCCCCGACCACTTGAGAGCCCCACAGTCTATTTCTGTTTTTAAACAAAATCTTAAAACGTACCTTTTTACTAAAGCCTTTTGTTAATTGTATTTTATTCTTGTTTTATCTTATTAATTCCTGCAATGGTTTTAGCTTGATCCACTGTTTGCTAATGCTTACTTTTTACCTGTAGCGCTTTGAGATTATTTTATGTAAAGTGCAATATAAATAAAATGTATTATTATTATTATTATTATTATTATTATTAAAAAGTTGGTGCTCCCATTTCCTACAGCTGTTCCTACTTTTCTTGATAATTTACAAACCCCTCTGTCTGCACAAAAGCAGACCTGGAACACACTGTGGTGCCAGACCCTCAGGAGCATCAGGTTGACAGCACTGTACTCCAGAAAATAATGTCTTGCCACAAAAATGACAATAAAAAAAAACAATTAACAATGGAAGCGAGACAGACCATCAGAACACTTAAAAATGCAGTTCTTTCCTACAGGGAAATTGCAAAGAAAGTCAAGGTGTCAGTGAGTGCAGTTTCCTTCACCATCAAAAGGCACTCAGAAACTGGGGGAAACTCTGATGAAGAGCTGAAGTGCTCTGGCAGACCCAAAGCCACAACTGGATCAGAGGACAAGTTTCTGAGAGTTAACAGTTTGTGTGATAAGTGGCTCACAGGACAACAGTTTAAGAGTGGTCGTAGTAAGCAGGTCTCAGTTTCAGCTGTGAAGAAGACTTCAAGCTGCAGGTTTGACAGGATGAGTTGCAGCAAGAAAGTCATTGCTAAGACATGAAAATAAGACAAAGAGGCTCCCCTGGACCATGAAACATGACACTGGACTACTGAAGACTGGAAGAAGGTTTGGATTGATGAATCCAAATTTCAAATCTTCGGTTCATCACACTAGATCTTTGTACATCGTGGAGTAGGTGAGAGGACGGTTCCACAGTGTGTAACATCAACTGTCACACATGGAGGAGGAAGTGTGATGATCTGGGGCTGTTTTGCTGGATCCAGTGTCAATGACTTGAGCAGTGAGTGAGCAGAACAAGACCCTGAACAAAAACGGCTACCACAGCATTCTGCAGCACCATGCATTACTCTGTGGTATTCACCTAGTGGCTCAGAGGTTCATCCTACAGCGAGATAATGACCCAAAACACAAGTCCAAGCTCTGCCAAAACAAACTCAGGAAAAAAGAACAAGATGGTAAAGCTTGAAAACCTGGAGTGTCCAGCAGCAGTACAGTGTCCAGACTTAAACCCCATGGAGTTGGTTTGGGATGAACTGGACAGAAGAGTGAAGCAACCTACAAGTGCCACACATTTATGGAAACTTCTGCAACAGACTTGGGAAGAATTTTCTGAAGAATATTTGATTTCTATTGTAAAAAGAACGAGCCGCGAGTGTGTTCAGCTGTTGTATCTGACAAAGCTGGACACACACATCAATCAAAACATTTTGATATATAGATATAGATAGATAGATTAGATATTTTTTTCAGGCTTTCAGGTACACAATCAGTACATCAGCAGATGCTGATAATGCTGTAAAGAATAAAATCTCTTTCATATCAATATTGCAGTATTATATTATTATTTCCTTGTGTATTTCTTTTCTGTAGGGTTTTGAGGAGGCGTTCCGTAAACAGGGCCGGCATAAACAGAGAGTGTGGCTCAAAATCTGCTCTAAAGGCGTTAGGATCCTGGACGAGAGGACTGGGGTGAGAACAACCACTATCACACATTATACAGTCTAAGAAATATTGTAATAATACAACTTGGATCTGCTTTTTCACTTCTAAGCAATAAACTCACTACATGACACTGATTTCTACAGCACAACGAAGAACACTCTTTTTAACACTGAATAACAGTACTCTCTTGATGCCCCCATGTGCTCTTATACCTCTTACCCTGTTTATATATATATCTATATATATCTATATCTATCTATCTATCTATCTATATATATATATATATATATATATATATGTCTGAGCAGTCTTTAATCACTTGTTTTCAAGGCGCAGCGTTGTGTAGTCATTTTGGAACGAATGAAAACAATTCTGTAGTCAGTAGTGTGATGTCCATGTACTGACAGCATGTGAGGCTTTAATGTGATGACGATTACGGCAATGTCAGCTCCCACCATGGACCCTGGACACAGTTTCTAACTCTGAAGTCAGCACACTTATATTACTGTTATTTAAAATGTCCAAATTCTAACATAATGATCCATGGGTGTCACAGATAAGAGCTACAGAGCACACACAAGCACTACAGGTCTTCTTCAAATCAATAGTTCTGTTGTGAGGAGCTCTGAGTAGAACTGCTGCTCCTCCACTTTGAGAGGAGCCAGCTGAGGTGGATTGGGCATCTGTTCTGGATGCCTCCTGGACGCTTCCCTCGGGAGGTGTTCCGAGCACATCCCACCGGGAGGAGGCCCCGAGGAAGACCCAGGACACACTGGAGGGAGTATGTCTCTGCTGGCCTGGGAACACCTCGGGATCCCCCCGGAAGAGCTGAAGAACTACTCCCTGCTCAGACTACTGCCCCCGTGACCCAGCCCCGGATAAAGCTGAAGAAAATGGATGTCTCACACATGCAGCTTGAAAGGCAGTGACACAGTAGCAGAGCTCCACTGTAAGTATCATACCACATCTAAACCTGTCCCACACAGTCCCAGCTGGAGTGGGACAGTCGGAGGGAGGTGCTACTGCTCTCATGATGTGTGGTGATGTGTGAGGACACTACAGCTGTTTTATTCAGTAATACTGAAAATGAAAGCAAGACCTGCACTTCCACTGAGATGCTGCTGGATTTAAAGTGCAACACCAAAACCCCGCCCACAACCACGTTTCACCGTCTAGAGGTGTAAGGAAAAGTGTTACTGGTCTAACAGGGAGCCACACTACAAACTCCGCCCCTGCAGCCAATTGTGTGTGTCAGAAACACCAGGCTGCTGTGATCAGGGCAGGGGCATGTGATGTCACATAGTACTTGATATTGCAGTGGTCACTTGAGGAAGATCACACTCAGTAGACAATGCCATTAAAGCCCCATATACACAGTTTATGTGCAAAAAACATTGATTTAGTGTTTAGTTCATTTTTAATAAAAATGTTAAGGCACTGACAGACGCATCTTTTGCTACTTTCACTTCATGTATTTCTGGTGTAAACTAAAGCTCAGACTGGGACATGGCTCTGGTGAATCTGTGGTCCAGATTTAGCCCTGGAGCTCCTGGGGGATCACTGATGTTTGGACCAGAGCCCCAACATGTGAACTGTGACCTTGTGGAGAAAGTTTAGTGAAGGATAAATAAATCAACATAATCTCTGTGTGAAAAATTCACTTGCCCAATCCAAACTCCCAGAGATGATATCGTTGACCAAGCCAACTCAAACATGCACAGAAACCTTCTCCTGCTCCTAAATGACCAATTGTCCCATGGGAAGAATAAATCTAGTCTCCATCTTAACTACAAATGCACTGATCCACCTTTGATATCGATTTGATTTGAAAGTCTTGTTCACGAGTGAGGGGAGGATGGAGCATGAGATTGAAATGATTTATTTTATTTTATTAGAATGCCCCTTGAGATGTGCCTCTCCTTTTCAAAGGGGTCCAAAAATACAAAACATCAGTAATACACACAATACCATACAATATAACAAAACAGACAGAATACAATACACACACACACACACTCCCTCAAGCCCTCTGCAGTGGCTAAATTTCCTCTCTGATGTTCCGTGAATTGTCCCCTTGCATATTCATGAAATCAACCACTTCCAGACGGAATGAAGGAGTCTACTCGTGTTTAGGTTTCAACGACGGTAGAAAAACAGTGTTCGCTCCGTCTTTTAATGAAGTTCTCACATAAACAAAAAAGCAACGTTTTTTCTCCACATCCATGCGTGAACTCAATGTGCCAGCTCCCATTGGCTACACATCCGGAAATTCCAAACTAATCAATCTGAACCAATTCAAACTAAATTAAAATTACCTTAAATACAAATTACCAAACATAGTACAGCAATGTAACCCTAATTTTTGTTGCAACAAGCGGTCACTTCATATAACACAAATTACAATATTAATTTGAATCTGAACTGAAAAAGAGCCTAAATTACAACATAGAAAATGGCACCAACACCCTCCTCACAACTCCTGCAGCAGTACTTGATTTACTAAAAAAAATAAGTACACGTTATATAACAAAGATATCAACAAATGGAAAAAAAAAAATAGAACAAACTGAAAAATAAAAAAGACAAACTAAAAACAAACATGGAGTTTTGAGATATGAAAACAAAGATGATCTCAATGATTTGAAAGATTCAGTTCCAAAGATTGTGGGTGTCTATTCCAATCTGAAGGGGTTTTGTACTGAATAATCTGCGTCCAATTTCTTTGTAAACTCAGGGATGAGAAAAAGTGAGACGGTGGAGTTTTCTAAGTGAATATGATGATGTTACTGGGACTAAATACTGATGTAGATAATGGATACAGTTCAAGTACCGTATTTTCTGGGCTATTAATCGCTCTGGATTATAAGACACACTGTCATTAAATGGTCTATTTTTGACCTTTTTCCACAAATAAACCGTGGTGAGTGGTTTTGTTTGTTTGTGGCGTTCACGGTGACTCTGGGCTTTGTTCAGTTGTGGCGTGTAGGGAGGGTGTGTCTGGGACCAACGGATTGTCGGCGTGTTTGCAGTGACTCAGTTGTTCAGTTGTGTCTAGAAGTGGCACATTGCACTTGCTTTTTCGGTTCGTTCCTCCATTCCGTTCCTCGTCGGCGTGGAGTGATGAGTGTGTCTGTGGGTGTTTTTCACTGTGCGGTCGCTGTCTGCTCCGTGTGTGTTTGTGTGTTCTGTGGGTGTTTGTAGTTTACTGAAGTCGTGCTGGGACACCCAAGTGGATTCGTGTATGGGGCGCTCTGGATTGTGGCGCGCAGTCATTTTTTGATGGGAGAGGCTTAAGAGCGCATCTAATAGCCCGGAAAATACGGTAAATATATTTAAATATGAGTTGAATCCATTGAAATTGACATGTATTGTATGCTTGTAGCCAGTTGATCATTAATACATTTTGGCAGAGTTGTTGTAGTGGAAAAGCCACAGTGAAAGACAGATTGAACGATTGAAAAGGAATATTAAATTAATTTAAATGGTTATACAACTGATGGAATTTTTTTTTTTCTTCAAATAATTTAGCAACTGCACAAGAAATATAGAAACTGGTTGATAGTTAGTCATATCAGTAGGCTCTCCTCCTATAAAAGAGGAGGAACTCTGGCTGTTTCCCAGATTAAACAGATCAGCTAAAGGAAACATTAAAACATGTGTGACAAATTTTGCCTCTAGACCATCAAGGCCAGCACTGCAGTTAATCTTTAATTCAAACATTACATTATAGACTTCTACTGGTGATGTTTTTGAGAAGGAGAAAAAGGAAAGGGGGAGAAATTCATGAGCTGAGCCCCCAAACACAGTATAATATATTTTTAAATCCATAGTGCTTCTAATTAAAATGAAATGTTCATTAAATGTTTGGGAAATCTTTAAAGGATCAGAAATAGTTTCATTTTTTCTAACTATGTGATTACATTTGGATTTATTGAGAACTTGATCAAGTTGAGCCCAGAATCTGTTTGGGTTATTCACATATTTTACATTCCTTGCCTGTGTGCTGCAGTCATTTCTGAGAGCTTTGTGTGTTTCCCAGTAAGAGGAGTAGAGTGATCAGATGGGAATGGCTTTTTGTGTGTGTGTTTCAAATCAGGGCCCGACTAATAATCATCCATCCATTTTCATCCGCTTATCTGGGGCCGGGTCGCAGGGGCAGCAGCCTAAGCAGGGACTCCCAGACTTCCCTCACCCCAGACACGTCCTCCAGCTCCTCCGGGGGGACCCCGAGGGGTTCCCAGGCCAACCGAGAGACATAGTCCCTCCAGCGTGTCCTGGGTCTTCCCCGGGGCCTCCTCCCGGTGGGACATGCCCTTCCGAGGGAGGCGCCCAGGAGGCATCCGGAACAGATGCCCGAGCCACCTCAACTGGCTCCTCTTGACGTGGACGAGCAGCGACTCTACTCCGAGCTCCTCCCGTGTGACTGAGCTCCTCACCCTATCTCTAAGGGAGCGCCCAGCCACCCTGCGGAGGAAACTCATTTCGAGTGCTTGTATCCGCGATCTTGTTCTTTCGGTCACTACCCAGAGCTCATGACCATAGGTGAGAGTAGGAACGAACGCTTCACCACAACGGTCCAATACAGCGACCGCATCACTGCCAAAGCTGCACCGATCCGCCTGTCAATCTCAGGTTCCGTCCTCCCCTCACTCGTGAACAAGACCCCGAGATACTTGAACTCCTCCACTTGAGGCAAAGACTCCCCACCCACCCGGAGAGGGCAAGACACCTTTTTTTGGTCGAGAACCATGGCCTCGGACTTAGAAGAGCTGATCTTCATCCCAGCCACTTCACACTCGGCTGCAAACCGCCCCAGTGCACATTGCAGGTCCTGGTCTGATGAAGCCAACAGGACAACATCATCTGCAAACAGCAGAGATGATCCTGTGGTCCCCAAACCGGACCCCCTCCGGCCCCTGACTGCGCCTAGAAATTCTGTCCATAAACACAATGAACAGAACCGGTGACAAAGGGCAGCCCTGGCGGAGTCCAACATGCACCAGGAACAGGTCTGACTTACTGCCGGCAATGCGAACACAGCTCCTGCTCCGGTCATACAGGGATCGACAGCCCTTAGCAAAGGGCCCCGGACCCCATACTCCCAGAGCACCCCCCACAGGACACCACGAGGGACACAGTCAAATGCCTTCTCCAGATCCATAAAGCACATGTGGACTGGTTGGGCAAACTCCCATGAACCCTCGAGCACCCGATGGAGAGTGTAGAGCTGGTCCAGTGTTCCACGGCCAGGACGAAAACCACACTGCTCCTCCTGGATCCGAGGTTCGACTATCGGCCGGATTCTCCTCTCCAGTACCCTGGACTAATAATCAGTTGGCCGATATTATCAGCCAATATGGGATATGGGCCGCTAGTCCACGTGGACATGTTATACCTCGTTATAAAGCTTAGACTCTCTATATTATGTCCATTTAATAGACAGATAAATGTCCTAATATGTGGCGATGCATCAGTATTTATCTGCAGAGTCATTTGTCTCTGTTTGTGACGCCGCTTGTTTACATCCGTGTTCAGCCGTAGATCCATGTGCAACACTGAGGCGCTGCTTTAAACGCTCGTGTCTGATCCACTATACTGACTATAAATAAAAGTGCACTTCAGCAACAAAACTACTGCTTGTTTGAGTGCAGAGCAGAGAGAACTGTCCCACAGAGCGAGGACTGTCCCACAGACAGAGAACTGTCCCACAGACAGAGAACTGTCCCACAGACAGACTGTCCCACAGACAGAGAACTGTCCCACAGACAGAGAACTGTCCCACAGAGCGAGGACTGTCCCACAGACAGAGAACTGTCCCACAGACAGAGGACACACACAGCTGCTGCAACCTGCTGGATTTTATTCTTTTTACAATCACTTTGAGTCAGGATTAAAAGGACACTTATTTGTGAAGACCTGTGTGTCTGTGTGAGCGGTGAGGTTGCAAAAGTTTTGGTTTTAGAGCTACTTTTGGTTCTTTCTCATTCTTTAGCTCTTAGTTGCTGTAGCTAACACATAAACAGCCTGTTTTCTCAAAAGGCTGATAGCAGTAGTTTACTTACATTCTTTACTGGAATGTCACTGCAAAACTACTGTTAGGCCGACCTACTGTCTTTAAATATGATAAAGAGGCAGAAGAACAGTAAATGTTCATATCTGCTGGGTCCTAGTTCAAACCTGTCACAAACATACTTTTATTCAATGATCAAGTCTTTCATTAATATTTCTGCCACAAGAAAACAACATAAA